TGCTTGGGTGGGTTCTTACTCTACAAATCCCATATAGAATTTTTTTCTCAGGCTTAAGTGTCTCAAAGCCCATTTAAAAACTTGGAACAAGGAAACATTTGGAAATGTGTTTGATAATATCAAGAGGCAGGAACAACTTTTGTTGCAAGCAGAGATTGAGATGGAAAGGCAAGATTTTGTGGCAAATATCTCATCAGTGGAAAGGGCAAGAAGGGAGCTGGATAATGCACAAAGAATAGAGGAGATATTTTGGAGACAAAATGCCAATGTGCAGTGGACTATAGAGGGGGAAAGAAACACAAGACTATACCATGTCATAGCAAAAGGCAAGTCATCTAGAAGCAGAATTCAAAGGATCAAGAATGTGGAGGGTACTTGGGTGGAGGAAGAAGCTCTAATTGCAAGTTATGCAGTGGACTATTTTTCTGGCCTTTACACTTCAGAACCCCATTACATAGAGGAGGAACTGTTTTCCTTTATCCCCAAATTGGTTACAGAGGAGAATAATCTCATGCTATTGGCCCCTGTTTCTTTGCAAGAACTAAAGGAAGTCGTCTTTCATATGCCGGTGCATAGCGCCCTTTCTCAGGTAAGTTTTTTCAAACAACCTGGGATATAATTAAGGATGATCTGTTGAAGGTTGCTAATTTTTTCATGCAAGGTGGAGTGATTCCTAGATCGGTTAATGCTATATTGATGTCTCTTATTCCTAAGATTGAAAAGCCTTCCTCCTTTTCAGAATTTAGGCCAATTAATTTATGTAATTTTCTTTACAAAATCTTCACAAAGATACTAGCAACTAGATTAAGTAATCTACTTCCTAAGATAATTTCAGAGGAGCAACAAGGATTTGTAAAGGGGAGAAATGTTGCAGACAGTATTGCTCTTGCTCAATTGATGGTTAATGAATTGGATAGAAAAGTGGAAGGAGGTAATGCTATTGTTAAACTTGATATGATGAAAGCATTTGATCGTTTAGAATGAGATTTTTTAAAGCAAACTTTGGCGAGTTTTGGCTTTTCAGAAGAGTTTGTTCTAGTCATCTCTAATTGCCTTAATAATCAAAACATCTCTCTGGTAATTAATGGTGTTAGACATGGGTTTTTCCCCAGCTCTAGGGGGTTGAGGCGAGGGGATCCTCTATCTCCTAGTTTATTTATTCTAGCAGAGGAAGTCTTGAGCAGAGGTTTAAAGCATCATTTCAGCAAGGACTGATAAAGAGTTTTCACACAGGTAGAGGTGCCCTTTTGCTATCGCACATGTTATTTGCAGATGATATTTAATCTTTTTGAAGGGCACAAAAAAATCTATGGTTAATATGTTGAAGGTTGTGGGGAGATATGAAGCATCTTTAGGGCAAAAAGTAAATTTGCAAAAGAGTTCGCTATATTGCTCTTCAAGAATCCCATTATCAAAAAGAAATAGACTGTCACAGGTGTCTAACATTCCTATTAAATCTTGTCCGCTTACCTATTTGGGTTGTCCTATCATTAAAGGGAGAGTTAAATTGTGATACTTTGAAGATCTGTTGAAAAAGTTTCAAGCTAAGTTGGAGGGCTGGTACAGTAAACTGCTCTCAAACATGGGCAGAATCACACTTATCAAGTCAGTCTTACAATCTCTACCAGTCCATCTCATGTCTTCTCTAAGCCTACCCAAGGGAATCATAGCTAAGATAAACTCTATGATGGCTTCTTTCCTTTGGTCCAGTAGACCAGACGTTAGGAAGCGACATTGGTGTTCTTGGAAGTCCATTACATTGCCTAAAGAAGAAGGTGGATTGGGTATCAGACGGTTTGAAGAGGTGCAACAATCTTTTAGAATGAAGCAAGTTTGGCATTTAATGAAAGGAGCCTCCCTATGGTCATCCATCTTCACCACTAAGTTTCTTAATAATCAGCATCTGCTTAGAAATCTGAGACAAGGGCACGAGATGTTTTAACATGTTGCAGCCTTACTTTGAGTTGGTAGTGAGTAACTCCAAGCAACTGGTGGGCATAGGTGTTTCAATAGATTTCTGGTGTGATAATTGGACAGGTTTTGGTCCACTTATATTGAGAAATTTTGTTATGCCTACATATTTTCCAAAGCTGTCACAAGTCTTCAACAATGGACATTGGGATTTAAATATGATTCAGCAAGATATAGATGACCATCTTCTACAAGAAGTCATATCAGCAGACATTTGCTTATCTGCTGGTCCAAATAGACTCGTCTGGAAACACACCTCCTCAGGAATTTTCTTTGTTAAGTCTGCCTGGGAACTACTTAGAGATAGGAGGGATGTCCAAGTACAAGCATCCACAGTTTGGAAGCAAATGGCTCCCCCTAGTGCTCAGTTGTTGGTGTGGAAAATTTTGAAGAAGGCATTACCCATGGATTCTACATTTCAAACAATAGGAGTTAATTTAGCAAGTAGATGTGCATTATGTTGTTCAGAAGTTGATGCAGAGGTCCATATCTTTATCTCCTGCAAATTTGCTGCATATATTTGGGAGAAGTTTTCGACTATTTTGGGATTCCAGCTTATAGCTAATGAACCTCCTATTACAAGATTTATGAGGATTGTTCGAATTTTCAAATGCACATCTCTCTTTCACACCTTAATGAGAGGTCTGCCATTGATTATATATTGGCATATCTGGAAGGAAAGGTGCAGAAGGCTATATAAGGGTGAAAAACAAATTCCCTCAGTGGTATTTAGGACAACATTGAATCAATGGAGACTGCAGGTTCATATATTCAAGCCTAAATCAATAGATCCACCTCAAGATAAAATGCTGCTTCAATCACCTAACATATATTCAACTTATTCTGTGGGAATACATACCAAATGGATTAGCTGGTCTTTGCCTCCAGAAGGATTTTTAAAGCTCAATATTAACGGGGCATCTAAGTGAAACCCAGGTTCTTCTGGAGGGGGAGTAGTACTCAGAAACCACTGGGGTCAACTTGTCCTTGCAAGATCTTATTACTATGGTCATTGTTCGAATATAGAGGCTGAAATGAAGGCACTATTGAGCGAATTATTATTGCTACAGGATTATGGATTAGAGGTTTACCCTTTTAGTTATTGCCTTTAATTATTGAGTCTGACTCTAAAATATTAGTGGATATGGTCACTCAGAGGCAAATATCATCTTGGAAATGCTGGTAGGTTTCAAAGGCAATTTTTTTTATTATTCGAAGTTTTGAATTTCAAATTCAACATTCATACAGAGAGGGAAACGCAATCACAGATTCATTAGCTAACCAAGGAGTTAGGGATGGTGCTTCTCACACTCACACCTCTTTGGGTACCTTGCCTTTTCATACTAGACAGCTTCTATTGCAAGATCAACGTCAGATTCGCACTCTGCGTTCCAAGGTGACTGCTAATTGTTAACTATGTTTTGGGTCTCTAATGATGCAGCATCCAGATATGCAGTATGTCTCAGTAGAAGCCTCGACTATTGGAATTCTGCATGGGCAATCTTGGTCTATACAAATCTGTTGGATGTTTCATAGGAGGCTTTTGGTTGCTTAGATTTCAGACATAAAAGTTTTGTTGCTGCTGTCCTGCTTTCAGTTGCCATTTCTCCTTTTTCGACTACTATTATTTTTAGCTAAGAGTCAATCAGCCCATCTTCAAGCTTACTCAGGTTCCCACCTTTTGATTCAACTCTAAGCTCCAGTTCAACAACTCCAAGCTCCAACTCAAGATCTATCTGCTATTGGCAGTAGCTATTGTATCCCTCAGTTGGATGCAGCAGCTGGAACAGTCACTGTTCACGTCACTGTTCAGCTGCTGCCTTCAATTCATTCAAAACAACAGCTATTGGTCATCTGGTTTAATTAGGGAATTATGCTTTCTAGAATTGTTTTTAGTATTTTCATGTAAAATCATGCATTAGAATTTTTTAATTCCTTTTGCATTGTAATTAGATTGTATTGAGGGGTAAGGTACATACGGTGCCCCATCTAGGTATAATTTAATTTTTTTCACATCAATAAATCTCCGGCACCGTCGAGGTTTGCCAAAAAACAAAAAACAATAAAAGATAAGAAGATACATATACACTACTACAAGTATACAAGTACATAAAACCAAACACAATTCAAAATTACATTAATCATTAGAACATGCATATACTTAAACCTACCAACGAATACGTAAAACTTAATTATTACCATCTAATTTGTGTACCTACCAAATCAACGCTTAAAATAAATGACTAGTATATTCTAAATTGCTTGGTTCACAAATTTGAAATTCAAAACTGAAAGATAACACCACAAAATCCTCAATAACATGCGCAAAAAATGAAATTAATTGTATTTTAGGCTAAAATCATGTGATGAGGACAAAATAGGTAATGAAAACATACTAATTGCCTAACCCCTATACATTTGTGCCCCCACAAGGACCACATGCAATTTTTAAGAAAAATACGAATGACCTTTTTATATATTAAAAATTCGGTAAAAGTAAAATTAGTTTATACACCAAATGAGGGACCTTGGTCTAGTTAACTATACATTTTATAGGAGTAAAGGTGTGTTCAACTAAGTTTACCAATGGACATCTAGTTCAATGGTGTTGTTTGTCTTGTGAAAACTTTGTCTTCTTGAGGTCAAAGATCCAAGTCTCCCTTCTCCTCAAAAAAAATAAAATAAAATGCATTCAACTAAGCTTAAAAAAAGGGGGACTAAGTCTTTACAAAAAAAATTAAAAATGCAAAACAAACACACAATTTCAAAAATACTTAAAAAGCTTGACTAACAAAAATAAAAATTTAATTCAATATCAAACATTACTTAATTCAGTTAATTCAAAACTTTTGAAGCATTAAGCAATTATTTTAATTCATGCTGGGTTGACATTACTTTTAATAAAAAAAGAAAAAGAAAAAGTTGAGCTTGAATGAAATTCCAAAATAAACTTGCCATAATAATATGGGTTTTCAAGTTGAATTACATATAATCAAAAAGAAACTAAGTAGTTGGGTAAATGTTGAATACTAACTACGCCCACCATATCGCCTTTGCCTTTGTTGAAATGAGCTTAGAGCCTCTATAAAGTCTGCTTCTCCATAATTCGGAAAAAATGTTTTAGAAAAATAAAATTCACTATAAGCCAACTGCCATAGCATGAAGTTGCTGACTCTACATTCGCCACCTGTTCGTATAAGTAGATCAGGACTGGGGAATTTAGTACACTTTGTTTGCAGCTCTTGCTCAAATAGGCTCTCATCAATATCTTGCAGTTGAATAAGACCATCTTTTACTTTGCTAGACACGCTTTTGCAAGCTTGCAATATCTCATATCTTCCACCATAACCAAGCGCTACCATAAGATGGAGTCCTGAATTTGCCTTCAAGGCCACCTCTGCTTCAGATAATACTTGCTCTATAGACCTAGGGAGTGGCGATTTATTCCCGATCACAGAAAACCGAATATTTTGCCTGTGAAGAAAATAATAACTCAAACATGGCCGTCCATATAATAAAACACAAAACTCCTGAAAGTATCTATAATATAAAACAAAACATATTTCAATAAGTTTATTCAGTAGTCGCAAATAGACTCATCCAATGACTACCAACATCCCTATTAAAATCATTCATATTGAATTACTCCACCCCCTAATAAAAAAAAATTATCACTTTTCATTTACATTGCACCATGCTTTCAGACACGGGTTACCCTTAGTAAAATATTAACCATAATATAAATCTATTTTATTTATAACCCTGATAAAGATATTTTAAACACACTATATTTCACCTCAGGCCCTTGTGTCTTGAAAATTGGATTTTTTTGGTGGCTGGTCCTATATAGTACACTTTTTAGGTGCGAGTACTTTTTTTTTGGGGGTCTTAAAGAAAAAATCTATTTCAGAAAACCCATTCGCATCATACAAATTGCAAATTTCAAAATTTAAAATCTCCTTTATTTTAAATCTTTCATGTGTGCATGTGCATGCATACATATATATTCATGAAAAAACACAACGAAGACAAAAAACGACAAACCATTGATTGATTCATGATACTACGATTCCAAACTGTGGTGTTTTATATATTTGTGTATATATACTTATACCTGTGCTAGAAGACGAAGATGTCAAACAAGCGAAAGCTTGAATGTGCTACGATTAAGGCCAATTCTACAACGAAAAACTAAGGTTCTTTAAAGGAAATTGGAGCAGTAAAACACATATTTCACTGCCCAACAAATTCAATTGGCAATAACATATATGTTTCATTGCCCAAATTCCCCGTTGATGTAGGCCTTATATGTTGAATCACGTTTTTTTTTTGTGTTATTGTTTTTCTAAGGAATAGATATGTAAGTGTCTATTCATGCAATTGTTGGAAAAAAATAGTTATGAACAAGTTATTTTTGAGCAATTTTTGGCTCAAATAAAAGTGAGACTCATACCTCAAAATTAGTGGGACCAAGTTTAAATGTGTTATCCTTTGCGAAGAGATTAACGTTGTATATTTAAATGTTCAAAACCAATAAATATTAAATGAGAAATTATATCTCAAAGTGACTCACTTGAATGAATGAAAAGAACTAAGTTTAATAAAGTGTAGTGCATGAGACTTGTCTCATATTGAAAATAAACCAAAAACTAATATACTCCTAGTTGGTTTCTACACCTACACAACCTTAATTACCACATACACGTGTCGGCTGCCATGACCCGATCGGGCTTGGCATTGGGTTAAAAAGATATTATCTTTTTGCAAAAAATTTATTTGGTGCAATGTGGGTTATGGATCAAACCAAATGGATTCGAACACAGGTTGCAGTTAGTCTTCCAACCAAAATTTAAAATTTTTGTCCGTTAATTATTTGAATTTGACGCTAATTTCTTTTGTGTCTATTCACTCCAGATGTGTCTTTTCCTTCCATTACTATTTGTTTAATAGCGTATTTATTCAACGAACAATGACATCTCGTGCCTTTTTAGGAAATCCAAATAGACGCTAAGGATTTATAAAATGAATGTTCTACAACCATTTTTAATATACAAGAAATAGATAGAAAGTTTCTGCATACTACTACATCTGTCCACTCTCTTTCTGCATTATATTATTTATTCAATTCAAGTACAAAACACAAGTTGTATTCGTTAGTCTTTTGAGATTGAATTGCTATTTTTGCAAAGGCGAAATTCGTTCTATTTTAAGAGACAGTTATTTATCAACCTTGAGCATCAAGAAGGAACAAATCTATATTAAGAAAACTGTGATTCATAGGACTTGGATTATTTCTTAATTCTAGTATTTTCTTATTGTTGTTCAACAATCAAGTAAGTGAGTCATTTCAATTTTTATTATAAATTCTATTTTATATAAATAGATTGCATATATATACTTAGTGATTAAAGATTTGTTACAGTAATTTGAATTCAATTATTATTATATATTAGATGGAAGAAAAATTGGAATTCTAATATTAGATGTGAATCTCTTCACTGAGTTTTGAAGTACCTTGCCCACTCCTCCATATTTGATTTTACCCATTCTTCGAATATGCTCACTAAAAAATCAAGCTCTTCCTGCACCAAGTCAAACTAGTTGTTAAGGAACCTAAAATAATTCTAGCAATTATCAAAAAAAGAAAATTAGTAAATAACAAATTCATCACTAAAAAAATTACATCTTTTTTTGTTTGGCCTAAAGTTGAAGATTATAGTGTAAGCAACTGTTGAAATTCATGAAACTAAAAAACTAAGGATAATGAGGATTAGAAACAAAGGATATCTAGAATACAAAAAGAAAAAAGGATAATTAATGCTAGATTGATAAATAAATAATAATAAATAAGAAAAGGGGGACCAAATAATGTGACATCAAGTCGATGATACTATTGATCTCACTATTTTTTGTTTAAAAATCAAATTTTACTCACCGTCTTAGCATAACTTATTTAATCACTTTTTACTAGCTTTGGACTATCATTAAAACAAAAACAATTAAGAGATCGTGGAGTCAAATCTTTTTTAGGTGCTATTTGATAAAATTGAAAGCTAAATATTAAAAATTGAATGCTAAACATTTAATGCGTGGGCTACTTGGTCTTCACTAAAATTAAGTACTGAATTAAACTAATTTGTTTAACAACTATATAGAGCTGACGTCTGAAAATAAATAATTTTTTAATTTTATTATTCCACTCTTTACTTTAAAAATATTTATAATATATATATTTGTCTAATAAAAAATCACGACATATCACTCTAAGTAATTTATAACATAAATATAATTCTTATTAATCTCTATGGGTGAAAAGAAAACGATTGGAAGAAGTAAGAAGTGTGAAATATTTTAAAGAATACTTAATATATTAATATATTCGAATCTTAGTTATCAAATAAACTTAATTAATAAATATTAAATACATTAATTTTAAGTATTAAATTTGAATTAGCAAATACACCTTTAATTTCTCATATCTCAGTCTCGGTTATTTCTCTTTATTATTCCATTCGGATTGTTTTCTCATCTCCTTGATAGTTTTTCATTACAACAACAATACACTGTTGCGTGTGTGTATATATATATATATATATATTCGGAACTACCATAGAGTACCACTGACTTTGGGACGAGTCAAAGTTTCGGTAGAAACACCATAAACAGTAAGGACTTGAACTCCCCATTTGTCACAGAGACGAGTGAGCTCCGTAAGTCGCCGGCCAATGGTACTATGACCTTGTTGCACCGACAAACCCCTCTGATGGGCCCACCTCCTGTGGCCATCCGGAATCAAGCCGACATGTTTAGGCATAAGTTCGCGCCGAAGACCGGCTGGCAATTCCACTTGTTGCGACAAATTCACAAGCTGCATGTGAAATTTGGGAACAGATATTGAAAGGCATGAGTTTGATTTGTTTCTTCCTTTCGAAAGAGCAGAGTCAGAGGTAAAAGAAGAGAAGGGTTTGTTTGGGAAATGAGAGAGAGTAGTGTTCTTAGGAGGAAGAGGAATTGGGAACCGCAAGGAGAGCATTCTGCAACGTTAATGAGTCTCTTTGGGTTCAAACAATATACTTATCTTTGTTGGAACTTGGTAATAATACCTCTGCTGCCACGAGGGTATTTAAAACCACCCAACTCGGCCAGACGACGTGGTCTTCTGGGATAACTAACTTGAAACCAAGAAGTTTAGACATAACGATCCACCATCTTTGATGGAGGCGAACGGTGCGAAATAAATATAAGCGATGATATTCGAATTTTAAAAGTTGACCTCATTTGTTGATCTTACCAATAATTCATTAAATAAAATAAAAATAATTCTTAATATTCTAATCAATACTTACTATAATTAGTTAGGTTAATAGAGACAAAATATAGGATTAATAATACTTTATTTCTCTAAAATTTGTGCTTTTTGTCAGTTTAATCCTCAATATATAAATTTTATCAATTTGGTCCCTAAAATATTTAATTCTTGTTTAAATGGTTCATGCTTGGTTTTATTCATCGTATGTCCTAATCTCCGAACATCACCTTGTCATAGGTATAGCTTATACGGATAGATGAGTGTCAATCTCCCTCAGAATGATGCGAGAAAAGGGGCAAACGTGTGTGGGATGAAACTATGTGTGTGTGTGTGTGTGCAAAATTGCTCCCCAAGCGTAGAGAAAATCTTGCAATATATGTCGCATATTACTTGGAATTGGTATTCCAAAGTCGTCTCCTCATGAAAGAAATGTGGTGAATTATGTTGAAGGTGATTTTGATGAAAAAGGAAAAGTGTAAAATATTTTGAGTTTGAGTTTTGGTGAGTAAAGATTGGTTATAGAAATGTAATGGAAACAAGTGTTGGCTAATCCGAAGAGGTCATTCTAATGGAAATGTCAAATCAACTTAAAACCTTCCTCCAATGGTGTATTGATGTTTGATTGATTCGTAAGAAACGATGGACTAAAATGGAGGTGGAGATTCAATCATACCCCGTGACAATTCTACAGTATATCAAGAACTCACAACCACATCCACACTCAACCTTGTTAAACCAAATCATCATACATTATGAGGAGGAATGAAAAAGAGTTGATTTAGCACGCCCAAGAGGAATTTTTTCTTAGATTAGCCAACTAAAAATCTAGCTACTTATAATAAAAGGAAAGACTTGCATAATGTAAAGAGACATAATATTGAAATGAAGATTAAAACTTGTGTTACTATAAAGAAAGGTGAAACAAAAAAAAATAAGTGCATTTAATACCCAACTAAAAAGTTTGAAATGAAAAACTCAATGTAAACATGGTAAAATTTAGAACATGTAACTAAACTTGCAATACACTTGAAATAAATGAGATTAAAGTGCAAGAATAAAAATTACAAGAGATTTAAAGCTTACTACAACTAAAATGGAGAAGAAAATGCAAAAACATAAATTTCTCTCTCTAAAACTTCATCTTCTTCCTTTAGCTTATCTCTCTAAAAACTACTCCTAAACTTATGTAGCTTCCACCTTCCCCTCAAAGCTTGTGTGAATGTTGAATATATGGCGTAGGAATTAATGCATTTTCATCTACGAGGCTCTCCTAGCCTGTGTGAACAAACCTCTCATCTGTAGGAGGTGATTTGACGTAGTGGACAGACTAGGAAGAGCTTAGCTTGCACCCACCATGCGTCCATCCTTCTCTCTTCTCATTTCCTATCCTCTATATTCCAAGGCTAACTTTAGGGTGTAGGAGGCATGTATATATGTAAAATATGTGAAAGAGCAAGTGGGAGAATCATAGGTGGGACTCCCAAGTCACAAAACATTGAGTTATAGGTGTTCTGGTGTTTCTGGGCAAAACCTACCAGTAAAACGACGAAACCTACCGATAGGTTTTTTCAAGTAGGCAAAATCTATCCAGTAGGTCTTCTTGAAGGTGCCAGCTCCAGACCAAATTTCGTAGAAATTGTCATAACTTTTGATTCAACTGTCCGATTTTAGTTGAAATGTTGACACAATACATAGGACATTCAAATCTACAACTTTCATGTTTTGAATTTTTTCATATTCTAAGTGGATCATGGTTTAAAATAAGGAAAATATAAGTATTGCTACCAGATGATGCGGGGTGTCGGTGCCTATGTTACCAAACACCGATACCTCATTAATTTCTTTCACTTTTAAGCCTCTAAATCCTCATATAATGTGTACATCTCTTCACCACTCGTCCACACTTAGTTGCAGGGTTCCGAAATCCATCATTTACGCTATAATTACCTGCAACATCAAGATTTTAACATTATTCATAAATTTGACTAACTCCAAGCTATGAAGCATAGATACTTCGTTGAGGTTGACGTACCCATATCGGATACCGTATCGGATACGATACTCGTCAGATACTTGACAATACATATTAGATACACCTTCTACACATCCGATAATAATTAAATATTATGATACTTTTGTAGTAGAGCAGCATATAAAATTTTTTAGTTGAACTTTTAACATCTCTTTTCGAATTCACATACTATACTACAATACATTAACAAAAATTTCATATTACTTCAAAGGCATATGAGTGTTTTTTTAAGTATTATCTATAATTACATGTCAAAATACCATATAGTAAAGTTATTACATTATAATTTTAGCAAAAATTACTTCTAAATACTAGGTAAATATTAGTTTTGATTCATTTAACTAGTCACATCACTTTGTGAATATACCACAGCGACACGATATATATTTTCTTAAAACTAAAAAGAATTACTAATTTTCCTTATTATATATTAAAGAATAATCAAAATATATAAGTGTTAAGTTTTTGAAAATAATAAAATTATTAAATATATTTTATTATAGTCTTATCCTGACCGTACCCGTATCTTACTTTTTTTAGACTTTGTCGTATCGTCGTATCCGTATCATATCATACTCATATCCCGTATCCGTATTCGTACTTCATAGACTCTAAGTAATAAAATGCAAAGATGAGTTAGAATGCATGTAATGAGACTGTTAAATATGCAATATTACGTGTTCATTAGTCCCTAACTAGATTGTCCATTAAGTTTTTGACGAAAATAATTACACGTTATTCCGTCAAATAGTATCACGTGATCACTTATACAAAAAAACTTAACAGATTGTCTGTATATGAATCATTTAAACATTAACTAAATATTTTAATGACCAAATTGATATAATGAAGACTAAACTGACAAAATATGTATATTTTAGAGACTAAAAGTGCTATTCACCTTAAAATATAATATACTACTCTATAATATATATTTAAAAGAATATTAAAATTCTAAAATTTAAGTTTTACTTAAAAATACAATATAATTTTTTATATAAACTCTTAATAAAATATGAAAAGTTTACTGTGATTGAAGAATTATGTTGATTAATAAAAATTTGTTAAAAAAAACTACGTAAAAGATTATTTTTTTATCTTAAAAATTAAATGGTTAAAATTTTGGATGAAAGAAATACACATATATAAGGATATTGTTATCTTTATATTTAAAATGAGTAATATTGAATTGATAAAAAAAAAATTTTTAAAATTGAACATTATATTAAAAATTATAGTGATGCATATATGTTTTAAAGGTAACATAGTCAATTAAAAAGTTTCATAGAAATTGATATTTATACATAGTAAATAAAGAACTAAAAGAGATGTTAAGGGTAATTTGGAGATTTAAATATATAAGTATATGATGACAATTTAGATATTCAAATACTGAAGAATAGTGTGGTATTTAAAATTTTCTATGAGGGTAAAATAATGAATCAAAAATTTTTCATGGTAAGACAAAAGTTTTATTCTTTATTAGTAGTATAGATGGGAAAAAATGCATATATATAGTCATAATGTTATCTATATATTTGAAAAAAGTATGATTTATTGATAAATTTTTTGAACACTTTATTAAAAACTATAATGATGCATATATTTTTTTAATAGTAACATAGTCAATTAATTTTTTTTTAATAGATATTGATATTTATACAATGATAATAGAGAAGTAAAAGAAATGTTATAGGGTAAATTAGAGATTTAAATACATAAGGACGTAATTGTTATTTAGATATTTAACTATGGAAAAATAATGTGGAAATTAAAATTCTTTATAAGGGTAAAATAGATAATCAAAATTTTTTTACTTAAAGTATTTTTATTAGTAGTATAGATTAATCATTGTCATTGATTTAATCGTTGGTTATATTTATTATAATTTACTATCTATTCAATGATCGCTAGTATTTATTGGCACCTACAATTTATTTAATAGTTGTAATCGATAGAATCAGGAAATTGTATCAACTTTTAAGCTCTATTTGGTATGAGGAAAAGATAGGTGGATGAAAAATATGAGGGATTGAAACATTTTTTATTGTTTGGTGAGAAAGGAAAAGTGAATGGAAAGGAAAAAGGGAAGGAAATAGTTTCTTTTAGGTCCACCATTTTTGATCCACCCAAATATGGACGGAAAATGCGAAAATATTGCTGCCTGGAAAAGGTAATTGAGTTAATTTACATTTATACCCTTATTAATTATATATTCTCTGTAACTTTCATGTTAAGTACCATTTGTATAAACGACACAACTTTAAAATATTGTTATATAACTTATACATGGTAAGACACCTAATGACATTATTTAATTAATTTTTTTATAATAAAATTCTATTATAAGAAGTAAAGGCCAAATAAAATTCTTTCCATTTCTCTTCTAAATGAAACATGTACTATAAATTCAAGTGGGGTATATTATATAAAAGTGATTCAAACACTGATTAACAATAAATTTACAGTTTAAACTTAAAAAGACGTTATAAATTTACAATTTCGCCTATTTACAGAGTAGCTTGGGTTGTTGGCTATTATTTTTGATATACATATTTATATTTATTTGTTTATTTATTTTTATAACTAATTAGAGAGACACTGAATTCCTTAAATTTATTTATAATAAATAATTATATATAAGGGTATAATGGTAAATTAAGTACATGTATCTTTTCTTTCCTTCCAATACCAAACAATAAAAAATTAATTCTTTCAACTTTTCATCCATCGTACCAAACACAAAGGATGAAAAATGTTTTTCTTTCCTTCAATGATAGAAAATGTATTCCTACACTTTTTCATCCTTTTAATTTTTAATCGCTTGTACCAAACAGAGCATTAGAATCCAAATA